TAAGAATCCAAATAACTTGTTGACATGTGTTTGCCAAACTGGTGCTTTAAGTAGATTGACTTGTATGTTTTATGTGGTGGTCATGGGGTTACCATAAAAGGTTTGAAAATGCTTCAGAGAGATGGACAAAAAATGCACTATTTTTAAACATACAATATGTTAGTGTTTGGTAAAAGTAATTCCAGTTAATGAACTAGTGTGAAAGTTCAGCTATAGAATTAGTCAATGTGCCGAAAACGGAAATTCACTCAGCCAAGCTATGCCACTCCATTACAAGGCTTACTTAAAAATGCTAACTACATTTAAAGTGGACAATAGCATACTTCCTATGATTGTCACAAACGGCATGCTAAGTAATGACTCCTATTCATTGCTCATAAATTTTAAGACAAGAAAATACCAGAAGGCCTAATAAATTCCCATGTTTTCAGTTAATCTTCCTTCCACCTTCCTGCTTCATCCCCATATGCTGTTTTGTTCAGCTTTGTCTCTATTTCCCAGAGAAAAATCTGGGTAGGCATTAGGTTTATTGTAAACTAATTAATTTCCAATGCTATTAAACAAATAAAAAAGGAGGTACTATATGGCTTAGAAATGATATCTAAAGTGCTCGAATTCATCTTTAGCCAAATATTGTTTTTTAATTCTGAATTAATATTTTCTTTCCTTAACCACTGTGAAATGCTACAAGGGCAAGTTCCAGGTGTGTTTGCTCATTTTCATAATTTTGGCACATAATAACTGTTAAATAAATAAATAAATGTATGATATTGTAGTTAGTGTTAAGTTCAATTTTGATTTTTCCGTATTTTTCCCCTAACACGATTCCTTTTTTGGCTTGTTAGCTTTTTAAAAATATGGTCTAAAACTTCCATGAACATGCAAAAAGAACCTTAAACTTTTGAATTCTAGCCCTAACTCAGCATTCTAGACATTTGGATGGACAACTCTCTCAGGTTAGAGAATGCTACAAAAATGAAAAGGGAAAGCTCATTGATCTTACTATTGGAGGGATGGCCTTTAAGATCAGTTTTCTGTTTTCAGATAAATGAAAGATTATGAATTCATTTATACAGTAGATGCAATCAAATCACAGACTAAATGATTTGTCTAAATTATATAGCAGTATATAAACTAAAATCAATGTCCCTGCCTCCTAAGGTGGGATTTTTCTCACTAGAGTCAAATCAAGAACATCTAGACTCTAAGAAGGTAATTAGAAAGGTAATTAGAAAGACACGATTATCTTCCAATTAAATTTATAAAGTTTCTATTTCATATTCCATAGATCCATTTTGATTATTTTTCTTGCTCATTTATAGCAAATACAGTATTTAAATAGGATTCTTTTGGAAACTTAGCAGTGAATGACCGCCATTATGTTTGAAGCAAAACAAAAAGGAGTAAAATTCCATTGCATATGTTTTAACATCATTTACATTGAACTTTCACTAAAATGGTTTTTCACAAAAAAATCTTAAAATTTAAAAAATCCTATGTCTGCAGTGAGGAAAAAAAAATCTAGATATTAAGAAGAAATCTCATATTGTGACTTATCAACAAAGAAATGAAATTAAGATTAATGGGTTCTTAAATTTTAATGTAGGCCTTAAATCATCACGGGAAGGAGGAAACATTAGTTAGTCTAAATGACATATGCCTTTCCTAGTCAAGTATCACAGGAATCATTAATGCTGTAGCATTAATTTGAAATTCAGTCAGTGAAGTTTCTGAGGTTTTAAATTGCTTAGCTGTGTAATCCCCTAGTATATAATAAATACTTGAAAACGCTGTGCAAACAGGAAAGCACAGAAAGGGAACACTGGTTTGCTTTCACCTCTTGAGGTCTAGGGTACTACCCTGTTTTAATAAATAATATTCAATATAAGGCTTAGAGCTCAGCAGTTATCCCTTTTAGTAGTTTTTGAATAATAATAATGTGGATATCAGAGTTTATATCAGATCAGATCTCAGATATGTTACTTCATTTTGGTGAGAATTTGGAGAACTAGCCAAGAATTGCATTTGAACTGGCATGATGATAAGATTTGTAAATGCCTCCACTTTTTTTTAAACCATTAAAGCTCCAGTAGTCAGTTTTTACTATTTTTCAATTTAAATGAACTCATTTCCCTTATATCCTGTGCACATTTAAAAAACTCATCTGTATAGTGATAACTTATAATATTTTGCAGTTCGATTACATACAGTTCATACTAACTCCTCTCTTGATTCTTTTTCTTTTAGCATTTTCTCCATTATACAGTATCAGAATCTTTGCATCAGATAGCATCAGACCTGCTGTTGCAAACACTACTGAGATCTATCATTTAGGAACAGTTACTTAAACTTTGTTTAATCTCTAATGGAAAGGATTTCTATAAACATTTACACCAGAACAGTTTGTCAGAATGAATCCTGCAAAATTGCTGGCATACTCCCAGGATCAGGGGGCTGGTGTTGGGGGAGAGGGGAGATTCCTGGTTATATAATTTTAAGCAACCCTAGAATTTCAGGGGTCTTCCTGCTAGAATATGAAGGGTTTGTATTAACAAAAAGGTATTTCAGTGCCCAGAGCAATTCAATTAAAGTATTTGAACAGCCACTTTAGTTTATTGCTCTTGTAAAAATGACTCTCCATTTGCTTCAGGTTTAAAGTAAAGGGATTATTTAGGTTTCAGAGACCCAGTAAATAAATTGTCTATGAGGAAAGAAATTTGTACAAGAAGTGTGAAGAAACACACCAAATTTATTCTGTGCAATGGTTCTTAAGGTGCTTAATACGTAGAAATGACTTGATCTTCCCATGAGTTGCTAAGAAGTCAGCATGAAAGAGTTAGTAGGGGGGAAAACTGAAATCTGCCAAGATAAATGCAGCACTGTTTATAAATTAACTTGGCTGTCTGTGTCTTTATTTTTTCTTTGGAAGATTATAAAATTAAGACTGTTCAACTCATCTTAGTAGGGGTTTAGAATTTGGGGAGTGGATGAGGAAGTGAATTTGAGCTAGGAAGGGTGACGAAAATATCCTGCACTGGGAAATCTTGGCAATTTTCATTTGAATGTGTTCTTATCTGATGACCTACAGCACTTCAGCCCAACAGCTTGTGAATTAAGTAGTATGGGTAAAAACTATTACATAACGTTTTCTTGGATTGTAGGCTCTCCTTAGAGTATATACTAAGTTCAGAGGCAAACAGTTTAAAATGAATTCCTGGAATGTCTATGGGATGCCCACATGGATACTGAAGATGGTAGTGATAGCATGAAATGGTTTGGAGCTTCTCTTGCTGCAACTCTCCCTTATTCTGTTAGAAACTAAACTTTGGGGTATGGTCACATAATGCCCACAAGTTTAAAAACACAGGCTGGGTATGATAGCAAATGTTATTGATTGTACTAGGGCCAAGTATGCATCTATGTGATACTGCAAGCCTAATTGGCCTCCAAGGAAATCCCACTGATCTATGTTAAAAGCTTGCATCTACATCAAGCTCTGGACAGAACTGGAAGGTTGGCTGGATGTCTTAGAAATGTGCTATATGAAAGAGAGACTGGCCTTTAAAAATTACATTCAGTCTTTGTGGAGGGGGCTGAGAGTTACCATCTTGAGGATGGCATGAAATGAGAGTGTGTGAATTAAAGTCAGAGGGGCTAAGGTTACCATGTTTGGACCTTGTTCCTTGTTAACAAACAAGTAATGAGGGTCCTTTTGGACTCCAAATGAAAAAAAAAAACTCATCATAAATTGAAAAAAACACTAAATTCTATAAGAAACAAATATGTAGCTTCTCAGTATGTCCTCAGTTTCTGGCCAAGCAGCATTTGTCCGTACCATTTGTATTTTATGGCAGAAACTACATGACCAGTGGTACAAGTAAACACAGCAAAAAAATTTTGCTAAGTTTTTAAAAAATTAGAATTCTTCTATTCTTTGGTTATCTTATTGTCAATCTAAGACTAAAGAAAATCAAATACATTGTTCCACAATATTGGCCATAGTGACAATCAGGTAATTATAACTATTAGATGTGTGCAGTACACAAGGACAGGGTTTATTTGCCTACCAAATGATACCTGGAGATTTCTAGTTGCCAGAAAAAGCTGGCCAGAAAAAGAGTTTGACTTCCTGTCTGTAGATTTAACATAAGCAATATCACTCATCCATATATTTAAACAGAGAACTGGTAGTCTAACCTCAAAAGAATATTGAAATATACTGAAGTCATTCTGAACCATAAAGGAATTTGAAATTTACCACTGTAAGGACAGTGTCTTTGTTCAGTTAAAGATCCATCACATGAAGTGATGGAGTATGTTTTCTGGGTGTCCAAGCCAATGGTTTCAAAGGCAAACTTTTACTTTGGCTATTGAGCAAGAATACTTTTGTGCTACTTGAGTATTTTCCTAGGGAAAGGTTTAACAATCTTTTAATTTCTCAAATATTGAAAGCTTGGAATTATAGCACCACTTACTTGTTGATCATTTCTACTTAGATACTTACATCAGCATGTTTCTAAAGTGAATTGCTTTCAGTACAAGAAATCATAAGTTTGTTCTAGCTCCAGATATTTTAGAATTGCTTGCCTGATATAATGTATTACCATTTTCTTGTTGCCAAACGTTACTTCAATAATATGATATTTAAGTTGACCTAAGGATGTTTACAAGAATTCCTTCCCTTCCATTTCCATGCTAGTCAGACACCTTCTTTTATGAACTTAGATTAAATTCTTTTGAGTTCTTTATCTACTCAGGAAGGGAGGAGGAGAACTTGCAGTGATGAATCAGGAGTTCTCTTTGTGGGCATGTACATTCACACAGGCAAACATAAACACAGGTTTATGAGGATAGTGACATAAACTGCACATACTGATGACGTATTTCCATCTCTTGCATGCTTAGGGTAAATAACCTATTGAGAAAAAAATTAGTGAAAAAGCATTGTTTTCTGGTATATTTCCTACTCTCTGGAACTCATGATTGCTCTCCATCCTTAGGGACAAGTAACTAGGTCTGACGTTGGAGCAATGGCTAAAGCTTGCTGTGATGACCTTCCTCCCAAGGAGCCTGGCTTTCTTCAGTCTAATTACTTTTGGCAATTGCGGTTATTGGGATTTGGCCTAGTGACTCATTGGAACCCATATTATCCCAAAGAGCCACCTTAACTAGCAGGATTAAGTCTGTCAGGAAGCCCAGACTTCCACTCCACTTTTACATGGAGCTTTCCCCAGTTTATGGCAAGATTTGAAAATCCTTCACGGACTAAAAAAGACTCATAAACAAGATTTAATGGAGATAACTACCCAAAGAAGAGCACATTAGGAGTGAAGTAGAAATGATAAGTTCGTGAATAAATGACCTACTGCAAAACGGAACCGATTAAGGTAGAGTTAAAACTATGCTATTTATAGTCGTTTTACTGATCACCAGTAGTCAATCTAAAGTGAGTCAGGAACTGTAGAAACTATAAAAGAAAAGGACGTTTATTTATCGTTAGGCATTTCCTAACCATTAAATTTTCCCTAAAAACAAGGAGGACTCTAGGGCACATTAGCAGTCATCTGGCAAGACATAAAAACAGTTGTTTATTATTAAGTAGCTTTGAAAAAAAAGTTGAGTATGGCTGATAACCATTTTCTACAACTGTCCTATTTATACCCCCTCCACACAGTATAGCTTAGCAGCAAGCACACTCCCCCATGGTTTGTACCTCTCCTAGTAGCTGTGTTTTTATTTTATGAAGCCAGCATCTGTTACATTCACTAGTGTGCCCTACTGTGTGCATTTTGCTGTGTTCTTTTGACTGAGATAATTCTCTATCAGACAGTCTTGTCTGTACCAATCAGGGCTACAAGTTTAATAACACTCTTGATCAACAATACAGATCAATAGAGTATTGATCAATAATATCAGAACACTTTATATTTTACACTACTATTTGTTCAAATGACATCTATCTCATTTGTAATCACACTCCACATATGCCTATTTTGTCCATCTAGCCTTCCTGAAACTGGCATGGTTTTCAATGGTTGCTTAGCTGCAATAGTGATTCCTGAATTAAGGCTCTTACAATATTCTTCCGTCTTGGCTGCACATTAGAATCACCAGAACTACTTTAATAAATATAGATATTCAGGTCCGATCCCCAAAGATTGTTTCATTTGTTCGAGGGTGGAGTCTGGGCATTAGTATCTTTTTAAAGATCCCCAGGAGATTCTAATGTGAACTCAGGGATGAAAATCATTGTACAAAGACCCATAAAGCAAGAATTCAGAGTGGAGGTTACTGTTAATGCTCATGGTAAAAGTAATATAAATAACAGACTTTATGAAGTGCCATAAAGATAACTTTTTCTGGATGACAATAACCAGCCAGTAAAATATCTTTTGTGGTTGTAAATTACATAGAAGGATTCTGATTTTTAACTGCAAAATTATAGACTTTTCCCACATCCTCATGCCTACATTAATCTTTTCTTGGTTACTCACACCATAGATGGAAATAATAATCATAGAGTCTTTCATATAAACTGCAATCCCATTGTTTTTAATGAAAAAAAAATCAGCAAATTTTTATGTTTAAAAGCCATCAATAAGACAAGTTTAAAGAAAGAGGACAAAGGGTAAAGGAAAGAAAGCGAGGTAGAGGAGGGTACTTTAATATCAGAAGCAACCTTTATAGTAAATGTTTGAAAAAAGACTTATGGTTTGTTAAATGATGATAAAGAGAGAAAGAGGAAAGAAGAGAGTAAGAGAAAGAAAAAGTGAGGTGGAATTTGGAAAATGCACCATGAATGCCTCAAGTACCAACCCTAATAGTTAAGGTGGAGTGAAGAATCAAAGAAGGACCTTGGCTTTGGAATCAAGCCTAGATTGGGATCTGAGGGCCACCTCACTTCCTTGAGTGATCAACAAAAGTGGGACTATTGGCACATTCCTTACAGGTGGATATGAAGATCAAATGAGATAATTTTTGCAAAAGCATCAAGCAAAGGGTCTGGCACTTACTGGTGATTACAACATGGGAGCTATTGAGTAATAACTATTATCATAATATTCACTTTAGTAAGTATACATGCATATTAAGATAAGATGTATATAAATATAACAGTGGCTCTGAGAGCTAAAAAGCTGTTGTTTGCCATGTAACATTTACGCATATTTTGGCATATTATTTATTCTTGGCAAAATGTGATTGATATTTCCCTGGTGTATATGACAGTCTTTGTTGAGATGACAGTGTTCTTACCTTTGATTTCTCTTTGTAGAACAAGGGAACAAAACAATGAGAAAGGACTGCTCTTTTTCTTACCAACTTATTGAGCATATGTTAAGAAAACAGTGTTCTAAAATAAGCAGCTCACAAATTCTGTTATTTTATATTGTGTGGTAGTGGTTTGTATTATGTGGTTATAAAATGGGGGCTGCTTTACCACTTACTCTCAGGAATGTGCTTTGTATTGGGGTATAATTATAAATATGCTTACCAGCTAGTTTTCTAAGGACAATTTTTGGGAGTGAATATAGCACATTGCATTACTGTGTGTTCATTTTAGAAAGGTGTTTTAAGGTAACTAGATCTAATCCTATGTCCATGCCAAGTGCTCAGAAGAGGACTAGTAGAATAAACTGCTTCTGATACAGAAGCCCTAAAAATAGGAGGAAAAGGGGGGAGAGCTTAGGGGGCTGACTGTTATTGAGGCTAGACAATCACTCAGTGGGAATGTTATAGAAGTGATCCCACACTGTGTAGATGGACTGGATTCTTTCAAGTTTTATCCCTTCCAGAGATTCTCTTATATTAAGAGAGCACACTTTGTAGAGAAATCTACTTAAAAGTAGAACGCTACTGTGATGAACAGATACTGGACCCAAATTCAATGGTTCAAAATTTTACTTTTATACCTTATGTAAACTTGCCTTTCATTATCATAGTTTTCCAGGTCTCCTTGTGATATGTGGCAAAGTTCCACAGGTAAGAAGACTTCTAAGTACAATTTTCAGCTGCAAGATTTGGCAACAAAAACTACAGTTCATGATACCAGTGACCATCCTCTTATGTAACACAGAGAATATTATAAAAAAAACATTAAAAACCACAGTTGAAAATGATATATTAAACTACTTAAAATAAACAAGGTACCTTAATGTAATTAATCTTATTTTGACATTACCAAGAAGAGTGAGTCTCAATGTCAGCACAGCATACATTTTTTACACCCCCATATCAGTAGGAGATCACACACTTTTGATAATAATAAACATCATTTTTATGTGAGAGACTCTAAAGTACTTGTGTTCAGCCCTAATACTCTAATCCCAGGTGTTTTGAGTTTTGAGTTCCTAAACGTCCTACTGGCTCCTCAGAAAAGAAACAGATTTCCAACAAGACCTGCTTCTCCTATTTTTCTTTTTGTTGATCGTCATCATTTTTCCATTCACCCAGACCTGAGTCCTTACACTCCAAAGTTTATTGCCAAATATGAGCCTACATCTCTTTCCCTTTCATATCCAATTAATTGCCAAGAACTACTGATTTGGTTAAAAGAAATTATCTGCTATATATACTCTCCTGTGCAATCATTCACCGTTGTAGCATAGGGCCTTATTTTCTTAAACCTGGACTATTGTAATCATCTCTTCCTCGTCATTACAGGCCACCTCTGAAAGCCTGCCGCGCTAGGGAAGCTCTGAAGTGACCCTTGAGTCAGTATTCCGAACCAGCTCCCTAACCCTGAGCCTAAGGACAAGATGGACCTGCTATAGACTGAGTATGATGATTGCTGCTGTAACTATGGTTTTCAGACAACGAAAAATGTGAAGATGAGGCATATCATAATTAATTCATTATCCACATTGATCACTTACTTATTAACCTTTATGTGATGAATTTACTTATACTAAATGAATGTTTATTTTTGTTTGCACTCAATCTTTATCTGTTAAATTTAGTTGATTAAGATAAGCTATTATTTAACTCCCTAGTTGTGACTTATATTCTCTTACCAAAAGATTAAATGTTGCGAAGACCATAGGGATCACTAGATCTAAGTTTTTGATCCACCTCCTCATTTTGCAGATGAAAAGCTTCAGCTTGGTACAGTAAAAGGACTTTCTTGGGTTATTCAGGCATCAGCAGTAATGCTGGATCTGGAACCCAGGTCTTCAACTTCTCAGTCTACCTTTTCTCAACATACACTAGGAGCCTTCCTTCTCAGATTCTACCACAAACTTATGATACTTGCAATTAATTAAATTCTAAAGGTCAGATGAAACATTAATAAGGCAGTGTTTTGAAGAGTAGATTAGATGTTTGCATAAAACATAAGGACAGTTAAAAGCCATTAAATATTTATTTAATTGGACAATCATATTCTTTAGTACCAATGAATTTTCTCTAAAAAAATTCAAGAAAAATTTTAGCTACAGCAGATAGCACCTAGGTCCCTTGCTGAGATGACAAATGAAGCAGAAATGCTTTTGTCGGAGGCACCTGCAACCCTGTTTTTAAAAAATAAAATTTAAAAATTATTCCAAGAGTTCAAATGTGAAAAGAATTCAGGTATTTTGCTTAAAAGATCTATGTTATTGAAACTTTAGAGCAGAAAATGGGATTCTTAGCAATCGATGACATTTAGATATTTAGCATTCCCAGCACCCCCACAGTCTTTGAGAATGGAACACCCCCATTCTTTTCAGTATTGCTGGATGACTACTTTAATCAGAATGTCAGTAATATTCCTAAATGGAAAGATCTGATGGGCAGAATTGGAGAAAGAGAAAAGATGGCTAACACCTTTACATATGTATATGGTATACTTCATGTGTTTAGTTATAGTTGCAAAGCATTTCAAATTTACTAGGTTGTCAAACAGATATCAAATTTTAAGATAATTCAACCATGTGAAACCCTGAGAAAAATCTCTAATTAAGAAAGCAATCTACATTTTCCCTTAAAATCAAAGGCGAAGCAAAAAAAAAAAAAAAAAAAAAAAAAACTATGCAATTTATGATGCAACATTTTTTCAAATTATTATTCTAAAAAAAAAAAATGCCAGCACAGAATGCACTGTTAGAAGAAATAGTCCTAACCAAGTTAAACACATAATTTCAACACACTGTCTTGCACGATCCTTACCGTGCTCTTAAAACTGAATGATGTTTTCCTAATGGTTACCAAAGTTTTTTCTTACATTTCATGAAACACAATATCCACTCTGATGGCATTTCAAGAATTCACTACTTGGAAAAGAATTTTTTTGGGTGGGGATGGGATATGTGAATGAATAGTGAAGAAGTAGGAAGAGAGAGATCAAGACATGTCTAAAATGAAACATTTGGATGGAGACAAAGGGGAAAAGACAATTTGGTAAATCAGTGTATCAAGAACAGTTTTATTTTTTGATAGCTCATTCTTATAGTTGCGGAGGTGTTTTTTGGTCTTAACTCTACATAGGGCTCTGACAACTCTGCATAGTACTCTGCCAACATTGCATAGGATTCAAAAGAATTATCACAACTAAAAAAAGATTAACCATTTAACTAGAAAATATTTTAGACATTTAGTAGCAATCTGGAGATCTCTGTCCAGATTCAAATCAGCTAAAATAATCCAATGTCTAATAAATTCATTTTGCAGCAAGGGTTTCCCCAAATAACTTGAAAATAAAATTTTACTACACGTTGTAATTTCCATTCATTGCTTTCTGGGGACCTAATTTGTACAATATTAAATGCCAGGGAATTATTTAATGGAGAAATGACTTAGTAAAGCTTATCTACTTACAAGTTCAAATACTCTTCATATTTCATGTTTAAAGGAATATTGAAATAACATTAAATCAGTTTCATACTCATTCTTATATTCTCATTACTTGAATAACTTGGGGCTAAAAAGACAATGTTTTAAAATAATCATTTCTAACATTCTTGTTAAAATACTTCTATTCAAGTAATAAACGGAGAATTAAAATAGCATCACCATGGGATATTTTGAGAAACAGCCCTCACAATGTAATGATGATTAAATTTGAATTCACAAAGACGTTTTTCCTTGCATTTAGATGTTGCCACTACTGCACATGAGTTTGCGTTTGTCTTGATTTATACAGTTATTACATGATGTATCAAAGAATACACTTCAGCAAATTCTACTCATATCTCTATCTTTAAAACACTGTTCCTCTAAAAAATAAGGTAGACTGATGACAAATGTAGACAAGTGTGAAAAATACATTGTAGTCAATATCCAAACCAAACTTTCATTTGAAATTAATATTACAAAATGTTTAGTAGAATTAAAGGTTTTTTCTGTTTTATCAGTTAACTTGTTATTTTCCAGGATTCACAACATAATCACAAAGAGTGTGTCATAATTTCAAAGACTGGCTCAACATCTGAAACAATGTCATGGGCAATGACCAGTACATTCCAATAGTCTGTTTTTATTTTATTACCATGAAAATTATTTCCTTTGTGTTCTTTCTTTCTTTCTTTCTTTCTTTCTTTCTTTCTTTCTTTCTTTCTTTCTTTCTTTTTCTTCAGACTTCTTTATGAAAGACTTGTGAAGTTTTACAGATTGTGCAATGAATGCTTTTAAATTATTATGCATATAATGGCTTTTCAAAACTTGCATTTATCTAGAGTCAGAACAATTAAAACCCAGCTACTAGATGGCATCAAATAAAAAGGATGCTAAATGCCATCTAAAGTTTCTAACAATAACCTTCTGGCATAATATAATCCTACAGCATCTTCTAGATGATCAAATAATATATACTATTTAGGAAGCTTTACTATTAGGTATTTAATTATTTGACATTGATCATCATTGTATAATAAATAATAATATCAGTTCAAAAATTTCCACTCAAGGAGAGCAGTTTATTTTCTAAACCTATTGAATAAATCATGGCCTTGAGACCATCTAGTTTATTTCTTAATAAACCTAACATCTTCTCTGTGGCCAGAATATACAATAGAATACATGTGTACATAACTGTGAGATTCATGGCAGGAGACAAGTTCCACTTGCTAGATATATGACATTATGTAGGTTACTGAGCTTCTAGTTCTCAGGCGTTTTCTTTGTAAGAAGGGAAGATTAATCGTACCTGCCTCTACACTTCAGTGTCTTTTTCAGGGCCCAAATAACTAATCCAAGGGAAAATGTGAGGCCTCACTAAGATATTGCGGCTATCATTGTGGCAAAAACAAGTGCTTCTTAATGTTATTAGCACACAATCTGGAATTCAAAGGTTGAGTCCTTTTTAAGATCTATATACCAATTCAAATAGACAAAAATTTATTGTGTATTTATTCACCCATAACTAAATAGACATTTTAAAGTACAAGAGTCTTGTTTAAAACATTGTTTCTTTTATGAGAAGAAACAATAGTTTGTAATAACTAGGATCAGCATTTATATCAAAGTAGAGGCAAATGGGATTACAGTTGTTTTAGGGAAACAGGAGAATACTGATACGGCTTTATTTGCTATTTCCGAGGATAATGCATGGTTCTTTGGACATGACAATATTCAACACTTCAAATGAATGTTCTTGTTTACAAAAAAACTTTCCTACTAAAACAAGAGAGACCACATGTTTTCGTTTTAAAAATGTTTCCTAGTCCTTACCTGAGAAACAGGAACTGTGAATTGAGTCTTTTTATTCGTTTATTTTTTCCCCAGAGATTTCAAAACAAACGATATATCTGAGTTTGTGCATATGCAGTTTGACCTTGAGTTTCTGGGCATTTAAAGAGGACGTCTCTACCCTCCACTCCTTCCTCATTTAAGTCATACTGCACCTGCCGAGAGTCTAGTCTGTCTCCTCCAAGGACGCAAGGGGTCGCCCCTCTACCAGGATTGCACCAGCAAACCAAGCCGCAAACGCAGACTCAAGTGCGAAGGAGCAAGAGCATCGCTGCGGGAGCTGTCTGCCAGTCCCACTCCCAAAGAATAACCGGAATTGCAACCCAGTTCCACCCATTCCCTCTTTCATTCCCGAAACACAAACAGAGTTCGCCTTCGACTTGGCCTTGAGATGATTAAGGCAGGTCGAAAAGCTGTTTGCCTTTGACTCCTCTCGGCCCAACTTAGAGGTGCATTATCCCACAGCTCCCTGAGACAGCGCCCCGGGAAAGCTTCCTGCGCCGTGGTCCTCGCTGGGGGAGGTGGGCACAAATGGACTACAAGCTTTCTTTCCTGTTTCTTCCTTCGGAATCAGGGGCCCCAAAACTGCAAAGCGAGACGCCTCTACACTCAGTACCCTGTTTCTCCTTGGCAAGTGTGTGGCTCCCAGCCCGGGGGTCCTCGGTGGGGCTAAAGGAGGGAGCGTGCTCTGGGACGCCCAATGGGCACGGGCTGGAAGAGCGGATGGAAAGCAGAGTGGGCTGCGTTTCAGCTCGGGCTCTCTATGCCCACTGACCCCGAGACTCAATTCCCCAGGTCAGACCCTGGGAGGAGAGGAGGCGGGGACCGCCAGGCGCGTGGACACCGCTGAGCCCCAGGCAGCCCCTTCCGCGTCCGGGCCGGAATGAAAGAGTGGGTGGGGAGTTACCAGAGTACACACCATTTGGAGGCCAAGAATAATAAATCGGATGCCCTGACATATTTAGTTTGGGTTCTCCTGCCCCCTGCTAGGCGATCCTAAAGGCGGTGAGGCCCGGCCAGGGCCCCTGTCGCTCTGGCCCTGCCACCTTTTTTAAAGGCAATTTTCAGGTGAATCAAACCTTGTCTGGCTGAGGCCAGCAATACAAAGGGAGCTTTCAGGGGACCCTCATGCCCAGGGGCAGGGCAGGGACAAACAGCGGCCGAGAACCGATTACTAAATTTCCATCTCACACAAGCCCGTGTTGTGTCCTCCGCGCTGCCCCGACGCCTGCCCAGAAAGACTTCCCGGGCGGGACGCTGGGAGAGGGATCCCCTTGGGGAACCAGGTAGGGCCGCTGGGAATGGGCTGCACGCTGCGGAGGTGCGAGGGACCAGAGCAGCAGCATCGCTTCCTGCCCCTCGCGAGCTCCAGGAGAGGTTTCCTCCTCCCTCTCCCCACCAGCGCCCCCAGCCATAGAGCCCGGGTCACCCCTGCTTTGCGATCTGCGAAAGGACTCCCCAAGGAAACACAGACACTAGAGCAGCGAGGGCGCCAGGATGCCCTGGAGCGAGGAGAGGTGACATCTTCGCATCTGTCCCTTCATCTCGGGAAGATTCCACCTTTCAGACAGACCAACCCGAGCTGAGGCTGCCCTGGTGGTGTCCGCTTAATTCCAGCTACGGCACTGTCTTAAGAAGCCACCACAATCCAACCTTCCAAATAACAGCATTAAGGGCAGCGAGGAGGCGAATCTTTAGGGGGACCCCACTCTCTGTACGTGTGTGTCTCAGGGGACACACTTGAAAGGGCCAGAGATGGTACAGATGCTCACATATGACAGTCAACTCTGCACCTCCGGCTCCCCACAGCTGGGTTTCTGCTGTCTTCAACCCTCGGGCGTGGGACGTCCGGCAGCTCTGCAAACGCACCGACACGCGAACCCCAGCGCCTCGCGCGCCCTTTGGCTCCGCTGGTGCGTGTCGGGGATGCGGCCGCTCAGGGGCTCGCTCCCTGGCTTCCTGGCCGGGTAGCGGGCGCTCGGCTACCGGAGTCTAGCCTAAGGGCCCAGCCGAGGTCTCCCTGCACCAGGCGGTTGCGCAAGGTGAGCGAGTGCCGCGGCCGCGCCTCCCTCGGCATTTACTTAGGGGTCAGGGGCATCCTGCGCTGGGCGTCCCAATTGCCTAGGGCTGGGTGCCCTTGGCCGATCCTCAAAAGGAAAGCACAAATCCCGGGTGCGAGTCTAACCCAGGACCGAACTTTCCCGCGAACCTGAAGTTACTAGGGGGCGGGAGCCACCTTAGCGCCGCGTCCGCCAGCCCCTCGCACCGGCTAGGATGCTGCGGGAGGCAGTGGCGCGGAGAGGCAGGGGTGAAAGACGCCGTCCATACCCCCAGAGCCCAAACCCGCATCTCCTCTGGGAGGCGCAGGGCGCAGGGCGGGAGGACCACTGCCGTTGGGAGCCGGCTCCGGACAGGCAAAGCGACCCGACAGGTGAACGCGGCGGGAGGGAGCAAACGCGTAAAAAAACCCTGCACTTACTTCTTCGCTGGCGCCTTCCCCGGGAGGCGTTTTGGCTGCCGATGTATTCCATAAAGTTCAAAATGATAAAAAACCAAGAAATCAGTCGCAAGTGCATAGTAACCCAGTAATGCTTCCCTTCCTTTTCTCCTTTTTCTTTTGATTGCTAATTATATTTAATGTTTTTAAAATATATGTAGGTGTTAGGCGTATATAGAGAGTGCCCGAGCAGCGGGACTTCTCCTCTCACATCCGATAGGCGTGCTGTGATGGCAAGCGAAGCGGGGCGGGTGGACAGGGAAACCAACTATTGTACTTTCAAATTATCCAAGCACTGAACTGCGGGGCTTCGCTGGGGTGGCTGGCATCGCCGCGAACCGGTGTTCCAGGAGCCGCCGAGGCGGCCGCAGGTAGCATGTTGTGCGGCAACTGCCGCAGGCGGGATCCGGGCGGGCGAGCGGCGGCGGCGGCGGCAGCGGCGGCCCCTTAGGCTCAGAAGCTGCGGCGGCAGCGGCTGCAGTGGCGGGGGCCCAGGGAGCGCAGTGGAGCGGGCGCCGTCAGCACAGCGGCCATGGCCAAGGGGCGGCGGAGAGACCCCGAGCTGCTTCTGGCGTGCGCGAGCAGGAGACGCTCCAGTGTTGGGCTGGGCTCCCGGGAGCACCACATAGGGGAGGAGGAGGAGGGCAGGGAAGGGGGAAGGGAGAGGAGGGCAGGGAGGGGGAGAAGAGGGGGAATGGCTGTGGGGGACGGGGGGAGCTCGGGGGCGGGGAAGGAAACTGCTGGAGCAACAACCCTGAGCGACCTCAATAACTTTCAATTTCAAGAGGGAAAGAGGGAGCTGGAAAAGTACAGGCGTTGGGATTTGGCAGAGGGACGGGAAGAGGCGCCTAAGGGGTCCCGGGTCTACAGCGCAGCATCTCTGGACACTGCAGTGACGGCGGGAGAACTCGAGCCAGGAGAATGGGAAAAGCAGTGCGTGCGAAGAGCCCCTCAGAAGGGCAGCTCCGGCGGGGAGACTTGGGCGCACTGGGGCTGGCAGGCAGTGTTGAGGTCGAAGACCCCCCATCCGTTCAAGTTCGGCTTCTCTCCGCGGCCTCAAGCTAGGCGCACCCGACTGTCGGTGGCCGTGCGCCCCTGCGCCCCTGTGCCCCGGCGCCCCCACCCCACTCCCAGCGCCGGCGCGCAACTACCCTCTCCCCTTTGGCAGATCGCTGGAGAGTTTCTGGCTGCTGACTTGTTCCCGGCTTTCCTGACCTTCTCCTCTGGTGTCTTTCTCCCTTTCTCCCTTTCTTTCTTTCTCCCTTTCCTCTCTCTCTCTCTCTCTCTCTCTCTCTCAATAAAAGTGGCTGCAGTTGGTCGCCAGGCGGGTGGTCGAGGGGAAACTCTGTGGGTGCTGCCGTTCAGCTACTCTGAGGTTTACCTGCTCTGAGCGGGGAGGACCCAGAAGTGTGTGCGCTTAGGATCTTCCCATTGGAAATGCAGTTGTGCTACGGCCTTTTTTTTTTTTTCCCCCCAAACCAAGCCTTTTCTGTGGCTTTGGAAGATTCCTTTCCCTCTCAGCAATTCCCTCTATAGTCAACTCGCCCCCCCTTGGAGCTTTCTCTCCCATCCTCGGTCTCCCAGTGTTCTTGAGAGGATCCGCTGTACATATTGATATCTCATCTGGAAGAGTGGGAATAAGATTTGGAACGATTTTCCCAGTCTTGGAGAAGGAAAGGGAAGGTCCACTACTTTCTTATCTTCCCAGCCCAAATGGAGGCCCAAGGCAGCAGGGAGTAAGATGCCCTGGCCCACCCAGGGATGGGAGAACAGAGGGCTGGCACCCCTGAGTGGGGCACACCCTGGCTGTCGGTAGTAAATGGTGAGCTTTCCTCGTCTTTTCTCTGGTAGCACTAGCCGGTGAACTTTTTAGTAATTACTGAAGAAGTATTTAGTCGAAAGTCACAAGCCTCAAGTGATTTTAACGTAAGCCTGACTTATGTATTATATTTAACAGAATATCTGGAGGACTGCACTAGCACTACAGGTTAACACAGCAGCAAACTTCTGGGAGGTCACTTTGAAAGAGTCCCTGATTCATAGGTGCCTTGCTAATTTTTGTGCTCAGCTCAAATAATTCAATCTAAGTAAATTGCTAAAGCCTTGCAGAGAAACAAGTGACACTTGTACTTCTATCTCCTTCCTCCATTTGTAATCCCTATTACTGGATTTCCTTTCATTTATGTAAATTAGGTAAATTTACATGAATTAGAGCATTTTGTAAGTTTGCAATGCTACGAATTTTATGTCTCTGGAGTCCTTTACTGGTATATTTGTTATACATCCCAAAAGTAGGATAGAGGCAATAAAGTGGCCTGGATGCAAAAGGAAAGGAACTTGAAATATGCATTATTTTCAAGATGCTAAAAATTAGAATCTCAGAGATCGTCTTTTGATGTTAATTCTTTAGTTAAATATCACTTATTATACTGCATGCTTGTGTTGGAATTTTGAAAGTATGCATAGCTTCCTTTAGGTTTGATATTATGAGGAAGGCAACACCCCAACAAGATTATGATTTTTGTCTTCTTTTTAAGAGTTCCCATTTACAACACCTCTCTTTCAGTAGTGGAACTTTTTCTGTACATTGTATGCACATGTGTGTGCACACCCCCACACGCAGCCTTTCCACCCTTTATCTGTTGCAAAATGTGTAGTTATAAATGACTGAGTTTATCACTTTGAACCAGCAAAGTTACAGATAACAGGACAATTCCAATAATGATTATCCAAAAAAGAAGCCACTCTATTTTACTATGCTTGTCCCCATCTGCTTTGCTTTCCTTCTTGCTTAATACCTCAAGTCCTGAATATCTGCACCATAAAACATGGGGGATTTAAAGACTATGGGAGGCTCCCTTTGAAAAGGACTCCAGAGACAGCCTTTCTAATCCGGGATACTTGAGCCGGATGGGATGAGATTGCAAAAGGGATGTGAAAAAGCAATTTGATGAACAACTTCAGGGAAATAAACATGAAGAAAGACACTTACTTTTCACTGTGCAGTTGTGCAGACATATGTTAGTTTGGAAGAGAACAGGAATGGCAGTGTAAGTAAATAAACAAACCCGATGAGAAGCTACGGTTCTTGAGCCATCCCAGAAAAGAAGTGCTAGATGCAGTGGGGAGGAAAAACTTGTCAAGGAATAAGCTCTGCTCAGAGGAAACATAAGGAAAACATTAAATAAAAGAGGAGAGTATTCTTTCTCTCTTGATGCTGTGCTTTAGAATAACTTTTTCCTGATCCGTGTTACCATCATATTAAATGTGTGTTTACTTGCCTGGCTGAGTTTTACGTTCCCTCAACTGTCTTAGAAGCTTATGGAAAGCATGCCATGGCATATTTTCTGCAACATAGTACCTTTTTTTTTTTTCTTCAAACAAGAAAGCAGCACTTACAGAAGCCTGTGGCTGCCAGTGGATTTCAGAACTCAAGCCTAAAGAAAGTTAAAAACCATAGGCTCAGCATAGAGGTCAACGTTTGCTTATTTTTCTCTAAAACACATTAGTTCCAGGGAGTTTTGGATAACCAGGAGACTGGGAGGCTTGGGCCAGGAGAATAGAATAGCTTTGAACAAAGGTAGGAGGCTAAGCATATCCAGACTAGTTGCTGCAACTTCTCATCTCTCCTTCCACTTATTCCAACCAGGCAGTGACAACAGTAACAAGTTATTTTTATCCATTGCAGCAGTGGCACTCTAAGGAAAGAAAATGATTGTCATATTGTTGAATCTATACTGCAAATATGTGAAAGGGGGTGTGCTCCAGAAAGAGAGAGCAAGCCCAATAGGTTGGAAAGGGATATAACTAGTAGTGATGAGAGATGTTTGGCAAAGTTGGGGCTGACATCAGTCATTATACCACAGAGCGAATATGCAGATTCTGAAAATGCGCAGCTCTCCAGTTACTCAGATCGTGAGGCATCTGAGTCAGTAAGTCAAACAGGGTACTGCTGGCTGGGTGTGTGTAACTGATGCAGCTAGAAGTCATCCCTGAAATACAGAGTGGGGAGCAGCATTTAAACGCCATTGAAATTAGTACATGAAGGAAAACTACTACTTTTAGAGAGAGAAAGAAAGGAGACAGAATTATTGTAGCAATTTAGAAAGTGATTATATGGTTATATAGCATTAAGAAAATGAGTAAATCGAGACCCATGATGGATTACTTTCTGTCAACAAGAAAGAATGTTCTTCCTCCCAGATGAAGTTATGGGACATTTATGTAATTGTGGCAAGCACCATCTGGTATGCCTATGTTTAAAACTTCTTTCACAAATCAGTTGATTGCTGGGCTTACTTAAAATGTGAATATTCAATAGTACTCAATATGAAGAATTTAACAGCTCAGAAAACATTGCATGATCATGGAGGTTTAATAGAAAGAGGCTGTATGTTGTAGTAAGAGAGCACTAAATTGTGGATCTGGGGATCAAGGTGAGTCCTTGTTTTGTACTTACATTGTTGTGTATCAGATTTCTTCATCTGAAAAATGAGGAAATTGAACTAAACTATTTCCAAAGTCCCTTCAGCTCTGACAATAATGGAACTATTTCTAGGAAAGAAAGACAGACTTGTAATTGCAAATGTCAGAGCTATTTCTAGTTGTGTGACATCACAGCTTTTACTTACAGAATTGTGTTTAATTGAATAGGTCCAGATTTAGAAATCTGCTTTCAAACTTGTTGATTTTCTGGAAATGCCTAACCCATTACAAGAATCCTAGATGACTCTGGCCCAGCAAAGATAAATTCAGGACAAGTTCAATCTGTCTAGATGTCTGTAGACTTTGGGACAACAAGAAAGAACAAATTATAAACTCGAGATTCTAGGCAGAGTCCTACAGAGTGTAGGGAAAAGGACTTCTGCATCTCATAAAGAGAGCACTCATTTAGACCTGTTTGTGGGAATCATAGATGAGGGAGGAATGTGGATCTCACTAAGAGCCATTCTTTTTATGTTTGTGTTATTACTTTCTTTTTTTTGAAATAAAAAGTTGGAAATAAAAGTCAAATTTTATTTTTCTTATTCTTATCTTTGGATGAGGATTTATATTCATGTACCCTTCATCCCAGGAACCTCTTCTGAAGGTCAGCAGTGAAGCTTGAGTGGTTGTGGTCATAGATTTAGGTTGAAGGGTTACTATCAAAGACATGAAAGTATAGAATGTAGGCCGGGCATGGTAGCTCACGCCTGTAATTCCAGCACTTTGGGAGGCTGAGGTGGGCGGATCGTGAGGTCAGGAGATTGAGACCATCCTGGCGAACATGGTGAAACCTCATCTCTGGTAAAAATACAAAAAATTAGCTAGGTGTGGTGGCACATGCCTGTCGTCACAGCTACTTAGGAGGCTGAGGCAGGAGAATCGCTTGAACCCGGGAGGTAGAGGTTGCAGTGAGCCAAGATTGCGCCACTGCACTCCAGCCTGGGCAACAGAGAGAGATTCCATCTAAAAAAAAAAAAAAGTATAAGATGTAGAGTGCCAGATGAGGGATAATACCAATAAGTAATTTTTGTAGCTTCTTTTACATGTATTATCTCAAAACTTCCTCAAAACATGGTCTCACAGATGAGACAGCTGAATCCAGAAAGATAAAGTTACTTGCTTAAGCTTATAAGATTCTGGCTATTTCATATTACCCCCAAATCTGTTTTC